AAAAAAAAAAAAAAAAAAAAAGTGATGTTTTTACCTGTGATAGGTAGCGATATCCCTGCTTCGCGTACTTCTGTTTGTGGCAAGGCCAAAAACCACTGTCATGGGTAATGTCTCTAATTCCATGACCTATAGAAGCATCGAACAATACCCGAATGCGAATTTTATTCCTGGAATTCTAATTCTTCACATAAACGGCCCCATCTACTTTGCCAACGCCAGTTACTTGAGAGAGAGGTACGAAAATTTCATACTAACAGATTTTGAACTTCTAGTCCAATGCCAAATATGCTTTTTCAAGTTGATCTCTGTTTGTAGGATCATGAGATTGATAGATGAAGAGGAGGACAAGATAAAGATTTCTGCAAAGAACGACTTGCAATACATCATATTAGACATGAGCGGTCAGTATTTGCATTATGAAGTGCTATTTGCACATGAAGTTTGCACTAATAAGATGAACAAAAACAGCTGTAGGGAACATTGATACGAGTGGGATCAGCATGTTTGAAGAACTGAAGAAAAATGCCGACAGAAGATGTATTAAGGTACAAAATATTCATCTTAACCAGCAAATTTTTTATTCTCAAGCGTTTTTATTTACTAATAGGAATGGTTACATGAGAAAACCCATAAAATTTGGTCTAATTCTAAACGACCTCGAATAAAAAGTTCACTGGGTAGTGTTTCTAATTCCACCAAATTTACTATCTAAAACTCCATGCCTAATTATCCGCAGCTTGTGTTATCTAACCCTGGAGGGGAAGTTATGAAGAAGTTGGACAAATCGAAGTTCATTAACAAAATTGGACGCGAGTGGATTTACATAACTGTTGGAGATGCAGTAGAGGCTTGCAACTTTATGCTTCAAACATACAAGCAGCCGAAAGCTAAGGCAGACGAATCTGAGGCAGCAGATGATAAAGTCTGATGTCATGAAAAGACAAATGAACGCAAGCTCCATTTGTTTCCCGAAAAATGAAACTCGTGGAGCATACGTCTGATAAGTCAGGCTATTGGAGAAAACCCGTGATGTATATATAAAAAAAGGGGTACCAGCACTTATCAGATACTCTAGCTTTTTCCTATTTCAGACAAGCAGAAAAGAAAAATGTCTTGAAACTGCATGTAGCTTGTGTATGTCAATTTTAGCGAAAAATGACAAGTGGAACATATGGCTAACTAACTAAGCACCCTAATAACATGAAAAAGGGGTGGTTGCTTGTCAAATTCTCTTAGACTTGATTATCCATAGTAAAAAACAAATCCAACACATATTAATAGTGATTCGTCAAAAGATTAATTTCACTGGAATCCTAGTTTTATTTGTTGACCTACACAGGCCAAGGCCTAGAGGAGACTTTGGCCTTATGTCATCAGTAAGTATAAATGAACCAGTTATCTTAGCAAGATTAGGATAATGGAGTTGTCAAATCTTCTTCCACATTCTGACTGAACCAGTGGCCATTCCTACTACAAAGCTGACACCTTGCTTTAGTGTCACGTAATATTTGTTAATAACAAACAAAAAAAAAATAAACGGTGCACACCTTATAAGTTACAACAGACACCAATACATGACCACACGAGACCCATCCTCTACGAGCTAATCAGAAACAACTTCTTTACCAAGCAGCTTAACTTTGTTTCTCACTGACATTATCAATATTATGCATGGTAATGAGCACCGTCAGCAAGGAAGTCATATGAGCAATCAATAACCGGCCAAAATATTGTTTGATAGATACAGGCTCAAAAATCAAGCAATTCAAAAGGTTCTAAGAGACTACAATAATAAGCACAAATTCAAAACAAGCACTTAACACCATCAAAATAAACTTTGTGTTTATACATTTAAATCCTTCATGAAACAGTCAGCTACTCCCAGGGATCCAGAAGTTTTACCGCCGCACAATGAGACGCACCTTAATTTCGATACTTCTTGCATTGTGCTTGTACACACAAGCCAAGTTGTTTCCCAAAAAATCACTTTTTGGCTATTTATCCGTCCTAATTCAGACCTCAAGCGCAAAACCAATTACCTGCATTCCGTCTGATGGATCTTCAGTTCTTCAATCAAGATAAAGCATGTGCCAAAGCATACATCTATGCCTCTTTAAATACACGTGGCAGAATTTCATGGGCACCAATGTCCAAAGCAACAGGATCCCTGATAACATATTTGGTCAATCAAGTTTGTTCAGTATAAATATATAATAACCAAGGCAACTGCCTGAATAATAACACAATAAAACTCATCACATTCCCAAGATTTTAAATTTTATACAATCTAAAGTTGCAAATGTATCAACTTTTTCCAGTTAAATGAAAATAAATTTCAGTCAATTATTCATTAAGATAAACCGAAAGGGGCTGCTTATGCTTAACAGGATAATTCAACACGAAACCATGAGGGTTTAAGAATATAAGGACAAGCAAATGAGTAGACAAATCTAATATTTATGTCAATCATGCACTTTGAATAGACAAATCTACTATTTATGTCAATTCATGCACTTTCTCCATGCCATTTATTTATGTCAGGTGCCCAAATGTTTAGAAGTGTTGCTGCATATATCGTGCATGATGGGAGATGAACCTGCACAATGTGTGTCCCTGCTCATTTGAACTGGGAACAAACCATATCTTTCTCAAAGACGGTGATTCAAATTGGATGAAGAAACCATCATTCTGCTCATGCTTCCATTTTCTCGATCCTTGCCCTTTCCAGACCTGCATTGAGATACGCAAAGACAACGGTTGAATAAACAATCCAATTTTTTAGGATGGAAGAGAGAGAGATCTGTTCAAAGTAGAAGACATTTTGCGGGAATTATCACTGTGTTGCCATCAATAAATAAAATTTAGAGAAAAAGAGCAGAAACATAACTTCGCAAATGACAAAATTAATGGCATTCGACAAATCTTTATTGATGGATTTTTTTTTTCTCTGAAAATTAAGTCTATCTACTTTCTCCCAGACTACGAATATTCAAGTAAAATTAAGATACAAAGTCATGATCACCATATCACCACTCAAGTACTAAATAGATTATCACTTCTTGGAGTCCAGTTTACAGATTACTGTACTTGTTTTAGAAACTTTATTTATCATAACCTAAATTCCAAGATACATATGTGAGAATAAACACTAAAGAAAGAGTAAAGCTTTGGAGAATTAGAGTTACCTGAGGATAGGATATTGAATTTTTTGCGGCCACTATGCAAGCAGCCTGGGAGAAAGAATCTTCAGCATACTGCCTGAGGAATGAAAAACAACTGCTGTGTGTATGTGGTGATTCAAATGCCTGAAAGTAGGATAAAAAACTCACTTTTATCCACAACATTCACCTATCTGGTGATTGTGTACTTAACATAAGCAGATGATTGTGTCAAAAAGACAAAGCACAGCCAAAAAACTAATTTGCGAAGGAAACACCTTATCAATATTGACAACGGGAGCATATTTTTCAGTATCTGTTTTTTCCTTGTGTAGTAAGAAATAAGCTCTGGGATCCACAGTAGAATTTTCATGCCATGACTTCACAGTGCTCTCCATTGTTTGGACGAGGAAAGAGAAAATTTCTTTCGAGCAATCGCCAGATTCAAACTTCCTCGACTGCAAAAAATAGAAACGTACATTAGTGCACCCACAAAAAATTGAAGTGCCTTAGTTGCTCTTACAAACGCCTTGTTCAAGACCAACAATCATCGAACAAGTGAACAAGGATGCTTAATGTGATTCTTCAAACCCAATGAAAAATCATAACTAACTCGCAATATAGCACTTGACTCATCAAACAATATTATGGCATGCAGGTTTCAGATTTTAGGTTCACACTAAGTTGAAACCCAAAAGACATGCTCCTATGAAAAATAAGACACAATTGGGGAAAATCCAAACTTACCAGTTCGTTTTTCACTGAATCCAAGTGTCTTGCCATATCAACATTTGATCTCATTAGTTCAACTTCTTGAGCACGTTTTTTGTCTCTTGTCAATTGAGTGAGTCTCTTGATTTTCTTGGTCACCTCAGAGCTTTGGGGATTGTACTTCAAGGAAACTTGGAAAGCAGCTAAAGCCTGCACAACAAATAAGGAACAGTGACACCAGTGAGTAAGTTGTATCTGAAAGTTGCTATAGCAGAATAATAAAATAACATACATCTTCATAACGCTCCATGGCCTCTAAAACACATCCTTTCCTGAAATAACCCTGCACAAAAAACCAGATGCATTTCCTAAGTGAAAGTCGTGAAAATGGAATAAGGCATATTATCCACCAATAAATGTAACTATTACCTTTTCCCAATCTGGCTTTAAGCTGATTGTTGTATCAGCATCACTAAGAGCTTTATTAAGTTTCACCAAATGCAGAAAAGCTGCAGCACGATTGCTATCAAAGAATAACGAACATGGTTAGGGCAAACAAGTTCAAATAGAAGGAAATTACAAAAATATGGTATCAAAGCAAGAACCAACATAATCGAGTGAATATATCCAAAGCTGATGACTAAAAAACAAAACAGAAATAGAAAGGGTCCAAAAAATTCTTCATGGAAGAATGGAAAACACCAAAAAAATGCTGATAATTCGGTTAATCACATGACTTTTTAAATCCTTAAAGAGTTAAAGTGTATGCCCATTTATAAGGTATACTGCCATTTTAAAGAAGATAGCACCATCTCTACACCCAAAATCAGATCTTCCCCAAACTTTCAATCAACTTCTGCTGTTCTAAATGTGCACATAAGTATGCCTTCTTCAACTCCACCCAAACTGAGTTGTAAATTATATCAACCAAAAAAACAGGTACCATGATGATAACGCATTTGTACGTTTAATACCTGTAAAGAGTGTGATTTGAGGGGTCCTTCTTAATAGCCTGAGTATACAGAGCTGCAGCCTTCAGATAATTCCCTGCTTTGAAGAACTCATTACCCTGATCTTTCAGCGAAATCTCTGCTGCTATCGCCTCCGATTCTCCCATTTTCTCTTCGTGTTTATCCTGCGACTCGGGACTACTTAAAACACTGTCGTTTGCTATTTTTGATCTGGGTTTTTAGATTAGGGTTTCTTCCGATTTTGGTATTTTTGATTTGGTTGTGATGTCTACTTTCTTACATAATCGTCTGACGAGATGATATATTTTATTGTCTTTTTTTTTTTTTTTTCCTAAACGATAGAAAACTCAAATAAATAAGGCCGAAGCCAGAAATACAATATTTAATTACAAAACAAAACGATTGCAGTAGCAATGAGAGAACCACACACATGTGACCTAAATAACAATCAAACCCAAGCAAACAAGGAAAAACAAGACCAATAAACCGAGAGATAAAGCAGTAAACAATACACTGGACCTTTATCCCTCCTAACAAGCAAACTGCCAACAGAAAACAACCCCTAACACACTAGAAAGGAACCAAACAGAACCTCCATCACCTACTATGCTGCAAAAAGGATTCCCAATCATGAACAGCTACTCTGACTATGGCTGGAGGAGGTCTTCTCACTTGTTCAAACACTCAGAGATTTCTCGACTTCCAAAGCCACCATAATATATACGTTGACAATTGAATTCGAGCTTCAGAAGTTTCCTTTTTGTCCATCTGGCATACCTGCCACCACCAATCCTTGAAGGTCTCATTCTCCTTAGGCCCTTCCCACCTTACTGGAGCCATTTTCCAAACTGATTGAGCTAGTGTACAATGGAACAACACATGCACAATAGTTTCTACCTGTTCTCCATATACCTTGCAAATAGGATCCACTGCTATACCTCTGGCTCTCAGATTTTGATTAACAGATAAAGCACCATTACAACATCTCCAAATAAAGTGTTTCACTTTCCCCAACACCTTTAATTTCCAGCTCATGTCTCTTACTTTGGCCTCAATCTTAACACTCATGCTACTTTGAGCTTTTGCCTGTTTCAGAACCTTGTCAGTAATCAACCTGGCATAAGTAGCTTTCACAGAGAACATACCTTTCTTGCTCACAGTCCACACCCAGTCATCTGCTTGAGAGGGATCTAAAGAGTCAATATTAAGAACAACCCTATAGAATTCTGGAGAAAATGTATTCATCACTTTGGTTTCATCCCATGCTCTTCCATCCTCAGTGAGCAGATCTTTAACCCACACCATTCTCCTATCCATCCCTTCTACTAACTCCACAGGCTTGCCTAAGAATTCAGGGATCCAATGTTGATCCCAGATCTTAATACTGCTACCATCTCTAACATGTTTTCTCATCCAATCCCCACAATTCTCAAGGACAGCCAACCAGCTGTTCCAAAGCCATGAAGAGCTCTGCTTCCTCTGAGCTTCAAACAGATCAGTAATAGGAAAATATTTTGTTTTAAGCACTTTTCTCACAAGCCTGTCAAGTTCTGTGACAATCTTCCACAGTTGCTTGGCAATGAGAGCCATGTTAAACAATTGCACATCCTGAAATCCCAACCCTCCATGAGCTTTGGAAATTGTAAGTTTATTCCATTCTACCCAATGCATACCTCTGATAAACTCTGAGCCCTTACTCCACAAAAAACTGTCCACATATGCTAGATATCTCTCTACAGAGCCCAATAGGGAGCACAAAACATGCCATTGCAAAGACAGGTAAAGCATTAAGCACAACTTTAATAAGAATTTCTTTACCTGCAGATGAAAGCCATCGATTCTTCCAATTACAAATTCTGCTCCTCACCACTGCAATGATGTAATCAAAAGCTTCCTTTTTGAATTTCCCAATCCCAAGTGGCAGTCCCAAGTATTTGGTGGAAGAGTGCCTTGTGATACCTCTGAATTTTGAGCATACTTTGTCCTGAATCTCCATAGAAGCATTTTTGTTGAAAAAAGTTGTTGACTTGCTCATACTCACATGTTGTCCAGAGAACTCATAGAAATCATTAAGGATATTTAGAATCAGCCATGCTTGCAGTTCATCTGCCATACAAAACACCAAGGTATCATCTGCAAACATTAGATGAGTAAGAGTGGGCCCCCCTTTAGCAAGCCTCAGCCCTCTGAACCTACCCTTCTCAGCCTCATCTCTAATCTTCACAGACAACAATTCAGAAATGATGAGAAATAAAGAAGGGGATAGGGGATCCCCTTGTTTGATTCCTCTAGAAGCGGAAACATACCCACTGCACTTGCCATTAATATTAAATGAAAAAGAAGGAAACTGGATGCAAGCCAATATCCATTTGACAAACTGTTTATTGTGCTTTTGTCGTTATTTTCGTGTATTTTGTGTGCTTTATTTTATAGTTTTAGGCTCGTTTTAGTGTCGACTAGTCCATTTTATCGTGTTTGGTGTAATTTTGTTATTGTACAGTTTTTTCGTATTTTTGCGCGTTTTCTCTTTTGTTTTGGTGTTGAATAGGTCCAACGAGTCGATAACGAGGCGACGAGCCGTCCGAGATGACCGAGCCGTCCAACCCAGAAAATCCAACCACGTCATACCGGGACGAAGAGAATTCAATGAGGAGAATTTTGGTCCAAGTTTCGTGCGAATCGGAGTTGTGTGCGAAAAGTTAAAGCTAAACGAAGTCGCACAACCCGCACGCCACTGCAGCCCAGCGTGCCCACGGAAGCAGCCGCGAGCTCGAGAGTGCCGCGCGCCCCAGCCTTGCGTGCCCGCAGAAACGATCGCGAGTTCGAGAGTGCTGCATGCTCCGCACAACCCTGCCCAACACACACACTCGCGCGCACGCGGGGAATGGCCGCGACCTCGAGAGTCCGCGACCCCAGCATACCTCGCGCCCGCGCGCTCGCGGAAAGCCCCGCGAGGTCGAGAGTGTGCGCCGATGCACGCCCAGCGCCTTGCCGACTCGCGAGCTCGCGAATTTCACGGAGACCTCGAGAGTGTTTTACTTAATGTGCGTGTTTTTAGTGTATATTTGTGGTGTAGCTATATAAAGACATTATGCTTTGTATTTTTTAAAACAACTCTCATTTCCCAACTTTTAAGTTGGGAAAATCCTCTCTATTTCTTTTTTTTTTTATTTTTATTTTGGTTTGAAGCTTTATGAATCAAGTTTTCCGGCGAACTTTCGGCGACATTGTTTTGAGCAAAGTTTCAAGCTTTTGATTCCGTTTCTTCTCCCGAGTGCATGTTGGAGTGGGTAACTTAGTTTTAAGCCCCATTACCTAGTATATCTTTCTTGCTTTGGTAAAATTGATGTTGTTCTTAAGATTTTGGAAGAAAAGATTGTTGATTTGGATCATGAATGTTTGACTAAGTGTGATAGGAGTTGAATTCTTGCTCGATTTAGGCTAGAGTTTGATTTGACTTTCTAGGGTTTTTAGCGAACATGGCAATGGTTGGATTTTGCGTGCTTTTGATCATGATGACTCCGATGAACCAATCTCTCTCTTTCCCCCTTGATTTCTCTTGCTTGCTCTCTCTCTCTCTCTCTCTCTTTCTCTCTCTCCCTCTCTCCTTTTCTCCCTCATGCGCTCATGCTTTACTTGCTTTCTCATGCTTTCAACTAGTAGTTTAGTTTAGTTTAAATTCAACCCAAACCAAGCGATTAGCATGTCAAGGATGTTTTCATTTGAGTGACTTTGATGACTAGGTAGTAACCGAAGCTCCGAATAGCCTTCCTTTGAGAACGACCCGAGGCCGGGTAACTCGGTTACCAATACCCAAAATTTTACTAAACAAAATGGCGCCGTTGCCGGGGAGGCGAGTAGGACGCCAAGTTTACTATCTAGTTGTCGTTTGTTTCCGTGTTTCTCTTGTTTTTTGTAGATTTCGTTTGTTTTTGCGTGTTTCTCTTGATTATTGTCTTGTTTTTCGACTTCTCTTGTTTTGTCTTTCGTGCCCGTGTAATATTATGTGTTTTTAGTTTCATTTTTTTGTTATTCTCCCTCTTGCCTCGTGTGCCTTGGGTTGTTTTTCTTGTTCTTGTACGAGGTATTACGCTTGAGGAGCCCAGATGGATCCTTATTCTCACTATTATACCGGGAGCTCATTTCGTGTATACCCCGACAATTCTCAAGGGGAGATGAACTCATTTGGCCCGAGCCACCCTTATTCCACACCCCAATGTGATTATTATGATCACTATTCGGCTTATGACGAGACGCCTCTTTACTATCTTCCACCTCCCGGTTCATATGATGTTATGCCTCCACCCGAGCCGACTCGGGCCCCTCAAACCGAACTAGAAAAGATCATAGCAAAGTTGGAGGAGGACACTCAATCCCTTCGTACTTCATTGGTCTCCCTATCCGAAAAAGACGAAACCGAGTCCTTCACTTATCCCTCTTCGGTATTTGAGCGCTCATCCGTTGGCCAACCTCGTTCATCTAGTCTTGGAGCTTCATTTCATTCCGAGGTTGGGCCAATCGATCGCCACCAAGAAGTTTTGGCGAGTACTCAAGGCGCACTCGCGAGCCTCGCGTCGATCATCGAGGAGTTTAATAGTTGGAGGTGCATCCCGATTCCATCCGTTCTCCGTGCTACACTTGAGAAGTTCGAATCCACCGTGGTGTCTTTTCTCGACTTGGATTCATCTTCTATTCCGCTCAGTAGATATTCTACTCTATCGGCGAAGCTTATTCGAGAGAGCACTCGATTAGAGAGCGAATTTCGTGTTATGGTGGATTGTTTTGCTTCCTTGAAAGAGAAGGGCCTCACTCCCGTGTACGATGGAACTCAACCTTTACACACGAGTGAGGACATCGATGAGCTTATTGTCAAAGAACTTCCTCCTTGTGATGACGTGGACTTGCACTCTACACTAGGTGCGTCAAAATCTTCTTCCGTTGATAGTGCTTCGGGTTTTGATTCGATTGTTGAGGAGAGTATCGATTCGGAAGTTGATGTTGAGGATGGATTGGGAAATAATTCAATTGAGGATTTGAGTGAGCCGAGGGGTGATGAAGGTGTTGGTGATGATGAGGAGGAGAATGATAATGGTAGTGAGGAGGAATCCGAGCATTTAGATGATGTTGTTGAGCCAGATGTGCCGTG